TTTTTTTTTTCAGAGGGGAAATTCATCATGAACACCTGGGCTTAGTGTCTATCGCCTCAGGTAGTGTCGGACTCCTACCGGCTAAAACCCCTCCATCTCGCCCCTTCGCAGACCGGAAACACCTCACGGTTTGCGTCAATCTGCCTTGTCTAATAACGACCTTACCCCTGCTAGTAACCCTTTTACGGAAATCCGATTCTTTGCAAGTCACGACTGATAATTATCCTGTTAATAACTTCCCAATCTGCTTTACTTGCGAGTAGGCTTACCATGAAATTTTCCACTTCCAATTTCCTTCCCGTTGTCCTTTCCAGTAGGGACCTGTCACTTTCCCATCTGCCGCAGTGTATTAACGTGTGCTCCGCTGTATCTATAGTTACTTCACAGTAGATACACAGGTCCGACCCTGTCTTGCCTATCCCAGCTAAGTAAGCCATAAAGTTCCCGTGTCCTGATAGAATCTGTGTCAGGTGGTAATTATTATCGCCGTGCTGCCTTTCCGCCCACTCTCTCACCCTTGGGATCAGACCCAGGGTCCATCTGCCCTTTGTGGTTACCACGTCTCTTGTCATGCCTGATACGTAACTTCCCTAGCCCTCTTTTTTGCTACCAGTTTGCTAGGAGATCGATAGGTATCACCCCTGCTATCACCAGTGCAGGACCGTTCTATAAGCCCGTGCTACCCTCAGCGCCATTTTCCGTTGCGTGCTTAGTATTTCTTCCCTGTTTCTCGTGATGGCCAGCCCACGCACCCATATTGGGCTTGCATATAAGATAATTGAGTTTCCTACCTCCCCCAACAACTTTCTTTTCTTATCTTTGGGGCCTCCGATGTTCGGCATAAGTCTTGTTAGTGCCGTTACAGCGCGCTCCGCTGTGCACACCTACTATATATATGCTGGCCGAAGCTTAGACTCCGATCGATGATCACTCCCAGATACTTAACTTGTTTACCAGTCTGGATAACTTGATTACCCAGACTGAAGTATATCTCCCCGGGTCTCCTCATACCTGACAGTACCATGGCCTCGGTTTTCTCTAATGCCAATGACAGCTGGTGCTGCCTCATCCAAGTATCTATCCCTAGTAGCTGCCTATTGACCTTTAGCCTCAGCTCATTTAGCTTCTTATCCCTGACCACCAGAGCTATGTCATCTACGTAAGCTATGACATCCACCTTCTCTTCCGTCTGCCTCTCGAGCAGATCGTCATACAGGATGTTCCACAAGGTGGGGCCTAACACAGACCCCGGTAAGGGACCCATGCAAGTTTCTATTTCTCGCGTGCGCCCCACCATCACCCGTCGATCGCTCAAAAACTCCGCAGCCAGCTTAACTAGATGACCATTTACTCCTTTCTGGATAAGCTTGTTTACGATATCGCTCCAGCTCACTGAATTGAAGGCGTTTTGGACATCCAACAACATCACTGCGCACCATTCACCGCTCCTCTCCGCTTGCCTTATCAGTCCGAGCACCTTGTCGACCGCCCCAAGTGTGGACCTGCCCGCCCTGAAACCATACTGGTTGTCATTTAAACCGCCGACCCTATCCAACTCCTTCAATCTCCCTAGAAGCACGTGCTCCATAAGCTTAGCCAGTATATTTGTCAGGCAGATTGTTCTGAAATCAGCTGCATTCTCCCCCTTCTTACCCGGCTTCTTGCATAACACCAACGAGGCCTTCCATTCTCTTCCCTGCCTCGTACAAATCATTTATGATCTTGCGGGTCTCCTCCGTCTAGGTTGTAACAAGCTTCACCAGCTCTGGGGGAATACCATCAGGTCCCGCCGCTTTCCCCCCTCTCAGTTTACTCGCGGCACACCTAATTTCCTCTTCAGAGATAGGGACCACAATCCCCTGTGGGGGAACCCGCACTGCCGCTACTGTCTGTTGTATCGGAAATAAAGCCCTCGCAATTTTCATCTGTTCCTCCACTGTTTTCTCAGTCTGTGGGTACCTAACGCCCAGAGAGTTTTTGGCAATCTTATACCCGTCCCCCCAGACATCCTGCTCCACATTTTCTAACAATTGTGGCCAACATTTCTCCTTTTCTTTTAGTATTGCCTTCTTGAAACGCTTCCTAGCCTCCCTATATTACGTCTCGACAAGTTCCCTCTCTTCCACCGGCCTCCTCGATCTACGTAGCCTCGTCATACGTCTCCTATTCTCCATCATCCTAGCCCTGAGTACTGCCAGCTCGTCAGTCCACCAGTACATGGACCCTAAATTCGAGGTTCTCCGTACCATTGAAGTCCTCTTTATCTGCTGCAAACGTGCCGTACATTGCTCCAAATTTTGCCAATCCTCCTCGTATTCTCGCATTTTTCTTTCAGCCTCCACCAAGTCAATTTTCCCTTTATTCCGGGTCTCCCAGCAACTATTCGTTTGCCACCGTATCTCAAAAGAAATATACTTATGCAAACTAAGTGTCTCTTCGTCCAGCTCCTTCCAGCCTTCCACCCTGCGTGCCATCTCCGCTGTCGCCAGCGTAACGTCAATTATAGACTCCGACATTCCTCTCACGAAGGTACCTCTATTCTGTACCGCCAGCTCCCGTTCCATGATAAATTCCGACAGGACCCTCCCCTGTTATCCTCATAGGAGGACCCCCACATAGCCGACTTCGCATTAAAATCTCCAGCTATCAGTATTCGATCTCCCTTGTCGCTCAGGTCCCGGTTAAGACCATACACATAGCGTTCGAATACATCCAGTCCTGAATTTGGGGAGATATAGCAGGCGTATACATATCCAATACTGGGCATATACACCCAAACAAACCCCTTCCCCTGTCCCCACTTCGTGATTACGATGCGTGCTTGAGCCCTAATGATACAAACTTCCATATCTTTATCCACATACTATCCTTTATTTCTGGTCATCCTCTTGTTCGGCTCTGCAATAATAAACAGGTCCACCCCTTCTTCCCCGGCTACTTGCCTCAAAAGATCCTGAGCCGCCCTCATCCTGTCAACGTTAATTTGCAGAAACTTAATCGCAACCATCGGTTATATATATATATCCTTCTACCATTTCCGAACCATCTGGAATATCGTACAATTCCGAACCATGCAGAAATCTCATAGATATAAGAGAGAGGGTTCGATTCAAAATATCAAAATGGTGCCTTGAAGTCTAAAATCTCTTATATACAGCGAAATGTTTGGTTATTTAGAAGGTGTATATCATGAAATTTTACACTCAAATGATACAATTCTAGACCATTATATTTTCCATACCATTTCAAGCCAAAATATACAATTTTATCAGAAGTTGCTTACAAAACTCAGCCAGTGCAACGCTGCCAAGTTTACTTTAACAATTTTTTATGTATTACATCAGAAGAGTAGTTGTAATAAATACCCAGATAAAAAAAAGAAACACATTAAGGTCACACATTTAAATTTTTATTGAGATTGATCGATTATAACTTTTCAAATCAGAAACGTTTTGACTCTGAAATAGATTCTGCAGACACCAACTACACTTGAATACAACACTCGAATATTAACGGCACGTTTCGACGATCAAGTTGTCATCATCTGGCGATGATTAAAATTCGAGTTTTAATCATCTCGATGAATGTTAGAAATACGAGTGTTGTATTCAAGTGTATCTGGTACTTGTGGAACCTATTTCAGAGACAGAGCCACACACTGAAGCTTCCAGCCCCTCCAGCACGTTTGTAAATGAATTTTTGTTTAGTTATATTTCAACTTCCCTGTGTACATGTTGTAAACCATGGCTTTAATTGACGTCCACTTCTTGTTCTCGAATATTTTAGGATAAAGATTCACAAACTCGACAACTTCATATTGTTTCGGAGATTTCTTTTCTTTTATATGTTGGGAAAAATGTTCCGCTACCATTTTCTTTTGTGTAGCACTCCATGTTTGTCTATTGTCTGGTATTAGTTTCTTAGATTTAAATTTGTGAACTTTTAATGATTTCTGGATTGTATGGTTTGCAATTGGCGTCTCTTCGCGTTTAGCATCTAAGTCGTTTCGATCAATTGGGTCCAAATCTATTTTTTCTGTTATGGTTTCATTATCATAAATAGGGTTCAGGTCGATTTGAATCTCATCCAATGTTTTTCCCCTGAATTGGTCAGCTCCTCCCTCCATCATTAACAGCAAGAGTTTAGAGACTTTTGCTGTTTGATAGATTTTGTCAGACATTCTATAAACATCACAGTGGGTTTTTAAAATATGTCCCATAAATTTGCTTAACTGCTCCATATCATTATTTGAAAATTGGAGAAGCTGCGTAATTGTAGCCAGATGTTTTCGGAGTCTTGTGGCTGTTATACTACCGGGTCTCTCCACTCCGCATTTATTAACATATTTATGAAGAACTTTGGTTCCGTCAATAAAGCCTTGACCACTTGTATGGAACACAAAATCATTATCAGCTACAAATTTACTTCGTATTTCTATAATGTAATCAAAATGTTTTTTCATTTCAGGTGATAGTAGGACTGGAACGCCCCTTCCACGTTTTCCCCTAATAACGAAGCGGCTATACGTGCTGAGTAATATTCTTTCTGTCTCAGTTAGACAATTTTCGAATTCATTGGTGTACTCATTTTCTAGATTAATCGACTTAAATGTTTGTACTTTTAATTGAGCAACTTCTGCCGGCTGTCTCCTATTGAGAAAAATGATCTGAGCGTATAACACTTCTTTCAAAGTATTATAGGCAAATGCATCATTTTCGTTAATTTTCAAATTATTGAATGCTTCCTCTGAAGTTTTTTGTAGATATATATTAAGTTTTTTTAAATCACTGGTAAGTGGCAATAACTCTTCTTGGTTCCATTTATTTTGATTTAAATTCGTACCTGCCTGTGCCGAAACTTCATCTGCCCATTGAGACTCTATAAGTCTCTTTAAAATCTTCAAGTCTTTCCTGTGTTCATTTGTGTTTTTCTTTTGAAGCAAATCAACATATGCTAAGTCACAGCACTTTTTGATCAGAGTTCCAAAATTGATTGCTAGCGTTGGTGATTCGTAAATGTCGGTCTCTGGATTATATTGCGCCATCTTATTAACTGCTGCAATAATTAACTGAAAATGACATGGATGAAGAATGTCTATTAACTGTTTAATTTCAGCATTTTCTTTCTGAGCATGTTGCAAAAGTTTTGCCAATCTTCGCATATTTGTTCTTACTAAATCTAAATTTCCTTTACTCTGTCGTCCTTTTACGTAAGAATATGCGTACTTACATATTAATGGATCTTTTTTAGCGATAAGACCTATGTCATCAGCACGCATTCTGGGAAATATTTTAGACTTGAGTAGTTCATCATGTTTAAATATAGAGCTTAAGAGTAATGTGGTTTGCCCATCACTCTGGGAAGTTTGCCTCTTTTTGGTGATATCATTGTCATGGTTCAATGAACATTTCTTAGTGTGTCTAAACAAACTTTTTTTCATGTAAAAGCCTAAACAATATTTACATGGAAGAAAATCATTGGAAGTCATTTTTTGGTTTGCTTGAAGTCTCTTAACTGGTCTTAATTTTGTGTCTACCCTATTTCTCAGAAAATTTGCTTGTTTTCTTAATGCTGATAAAGCGTGTCGTCTCTCTTTGGAATTTCTATTAAAAGAAAGAATTCGTTGCACTTCAAATTCTTGTTCATGCCACTTAAACATATGCCTACTAAAATGAGAAACATCTTTCTCGCAGAAACAGCAAAAGTCTTTCCGATCAGTATAATTTTTTCTTGAAACTGTTTCTACCATTTGCTGAAAAATTAATTAGAATTAAATATATCATGTTTATTGTTTGGCAGAATTATTGTGAAAAAGCATTTTTTTTAAATGAGAAGTACACATAGGTGTACGTTATCTAAAACTAAAAATAGGACCAACCATATAACAAGTAGATATACACAAGAGAGTTGAGAATTTTTAGTATCATTCAACTGTACTTGCTTGTAAAATTTACAATAATGTATATTTCTAATGTTGAGTCTTAGAAACAGCTATCTAGAATGGTTCTTTTTCAAACTGGTTATATATAGGGGGTAAGTCGGGAGGAACAGGCCAAACTTGGCGAGTGTATTCAATATAAGAAAAACACCCAAAAGTTATAATAAAATTTTTTTTAATGTACGTTTAAATGTTTAGGTAGGCCTAAGCTGGCTAATAAATTTTTCAACAAAGAAAAACTATTACATTGTTTCTACGATATGAAAATCGTCGATGATATTCTACAACGTGCTCCCATTGCAAAAGCTATAACAAACATCATATTTGCATATTCGAAATTAGAGTAAATATTGGGCATTATTTTAACACAGTCAAAAAATAGTGTACAATCAAATCAAACTACTGTTGGACGTAAGACAGATATATATTTTTAAAAAAATGGCACTTGTGCTAACCTACTTTTCTTTGTTAAAAAATTTGTTATCCTGCTAAGTCTACTTAAAACGCTGTAAATTTAAAATAAATAAAAATTGAATTATAACTTTTAGGTTTTTTTGTATTATATTAATGTGTAGAATGCATTCCCGGAGTTTGGCGTATTCCTCCCAACTCATCCTGTCTACCCTGCAGGAGGAAAAACATGGAAAAATAATCCTGAAACAATATGCAGGCTCAGGTTTGTCACTGTGGCTCAGGATTGTTATTAAGTTTTACTATAGCTGGCTCAGGTTTGTAAGGATACCAAATATACAAAAATATAGTGTAGTACGTGAAATGAAAAATCTAAATAATATGAGTGGAAATAATATACAGGTTGTCCTATTTCAAACAATTATTAATAATTCGATTTATTTCCCCTGATTTATTAGAACACTCACCTCATCTCCTGATCTGGAGAATAGTTCACTTCCTGCTGGATTTAGAGTAACGGGAGTTTTTTGGGAAGATATATTAGCAGATATCTTGAAGAAAAAGTACATTTATATAAAATCTGATGTTTTAAAAGGGAAAAAATTAACCATTTACCTTACAATCGTGAGATAATGTATCTGCCAACACCAAAGATATTTGTGGAACAACACCTATTTCGGAACATTCTGTAGATAATTCACTATTTAAATGTGGATAACTTTCTCTAGATAATTCGCTATTTGACTGCAGAGAATACTACAAAAAGAAAATTAAAATTAAAATATGGATTCAATGATTGAGAACTATAAATTTAGTTTAAGCTTTTTATCACTAGCTATTTGCAATCTTCTGTTATATGAGGAAAGAAAATACCAATGTACTTAATAAAGTCAATTATAACATTTACTTTTATCTATCAAGAGTTATTATTTATTTTTGTCAACATGCAAGTGAATATACATGTTTTGAAATTTATTAGGTGTATTTGGATTCATTAAAGAATACTGAGTATTTGATGAAATCCAAATAAAAATGCTTGGTCTGTGGTATTTATAATATCTGATAACGACACGAGGGATATAAGCAATACAGTTATTTAAATTAAAAAATTATGTTTTACTTAAATATCTCCAAAACAGAACCATTTTTGTAGAGAACACAATTTTAGATTAAAATATTCGTCTTTATGCATACACCATGCCATATCAAACACTA